AGGGAGGACGGTGAAGGGACCTGGTGATCCCCAGGCAACTGCGGTTGCACAAGGGCCGGAGGAGTGAATGCCCCGGGCGTGTTCGGCCCTGTGGCTCCCTCTGCACTTTGCCCTCACGTGCTGGGATGGCGAGGAGAGCTTGTCCCCAGTGATGGAGGAGAGCTTGTCCCCAGTGATGGAGGAGAGCTTGTCCCCAGTGATGGAGGAGAGCTTGTCCCCAGTGATGGAGGAGAGCTTGTCCCCAGTGATGGAGGAGAGCTTGTCCCCAGTGATGGAGGAGAGCTTGTCCCCAGTGATGGAGGAGAGCTTGTCCCCAGTGATGGAGGAGAGCTTGTCCCCAGTGATGGAGGAGAGCTTGTCCCCAGTGATGGAGGAGAGCTTGTCCCCAGTGATGGAGGAGAGCTTGTCCCCAGTGATGGAGGAGAGCTTGTCCCCAGTGATGGAGGAGAGCTTGTCCCCAGTGATGGAGGAGAGCTTGTCCCCAGTGATGGAGGAGAGCTTGTCCCCAGTGATGGAGGAGAGCTTGTCCCCAGTGATGGAGGAGAGCTTGTCCCCAGTGATGGAGGAGAGCTTGTCCCCAGTGATGGAGGAGAGCTTGTCCCCGGTGTCAGAGCAGAGCTTGTTTGCAGCCCTGGGTCTGGGCAGGAGCTGGTGACCCTGTGGAGAGCCCTGCCAGCGCTGTCCCCAAGCTGACACTGGGCAGGCATGAGTGCTGCCTGGGCCACCCCGCATCCGTCATGGTCCCCTGGGCCCTCTCTGGGGACAGAAGGGCTGTTCCGTTGGGTTGGAAGATGGTTTGAGAAGCCAGTGTGAGCTCCAGCATGTGCAAGGCCAGGGTGGCCTGGACAGATGCCTCCACTGACCCCAGGCAGCCCCTTTTCAGGGGCAGGGGGACACCTGGGGCTTTCAGTGAACAAAACAGCCATGGGAGGTACCTGCCTGGGCTGCGATTGCCTGATGGAGACACATCTCCAGCCCTCCCAGTGCAGCCCTCCCGCCCTCCCAAACACCGTTCTGGGGACGGCGAGACCTGCTCTTGCACAGAGGGGACAGTGCTGTCCCCTGGGAGGACACTACCTGCAGTAGCCCCAGAGGGGTTCCAGCCTCTCCCCTGGCCTGGGGGACATGTCCTGGGGCTGGAGTGGGGACATGTCCTGCTGGGCTCCCTGCAGCAACCCTTACGCTTTCAACCAGCCGGTGCCCCAGTCGTGCTGGGGGTGTTGTGGTGGTCCGGGGGCATGTGGGCAGGGCAGGAGGAAGGAAGCCCCTGTCCCATGGTGAGGACTGGCGGTGGCCGTGCACCCCAGGAGCAGTGGAGCAATCCCAGGCCCTCAGACTTTGGTGGTGGGGACGTCCTGGCCACGCAGCTCTCCACGGCTGGATGCCAGAGTCCCACTCCGCTGGCCTCTCGCTGTGCGGCTGTGTCCCTCCTCCAGACGTGTCCTGGGGCCTGCAGGATGGAGAGCAGCTGCTTGCTGCCACCTCTCCTTGCCACAGGGAGCGGGGAGGGGTGTCCTTGCCTGTAGATTTGGGGACACCTGTGTCCGTGGGGCTGCAGCATGGCTCCGTACTCTCCCTGGGGCCGGGCAGCTGCCTGATTACACCTTCCCGGTGTCCATCAGACACATCCCTTGGATGCGTTTGCACTTCCCGAGCAGTTGTGGCTGTAGGGGAAGCTCCTGGAAGGGGGCTGGGTTGCCAGGGCCCCTGCTGGG